GATGTTCACAACAGAGTAAAAACAAAGGATATATGTGAGGTTTAACTTTTACATCATTATTTCAAATTACTTGTATGATACTAAGAGTGGACACTGCAACTATAAAAGCAATGTGTTACAAAAGATGGAGGGGCCTGCAATAAATCCTCTAGATTGGGGTGGATTCAGTATGTTGGGCGACTTTTGACTAGGGATGGCTGATATCTGCTTTCCAACATTGTTAATATATAGCCAGCTAAACCTTATGATATCCTGATAAAGGAGGAAAGAAGGTGGGAAGAAGGCAGTTGTTGGCCATGCAGATGATCAGCATAAGTGTGCGCAGCTTCTGCCGCTTCCAGGCGAGGCTGGGTAGGCAGCGCTGCCCTGGGCAGAGTGCATCAGCCGGGGCACCACATGGCATGGCACCGTGCACAGAAACGTAGAGCCCCAGGGCTCCAATGGCCTCCCTGGAGCCGCCAGCTGCGGCTAGCCCCAAAGATAGCCTCTCACCACGCAAGCGATAGCTACCGGAAGTCACCCTCTGGAGCACTACGCAAGGCATGGGAGGCAGTTTCAATCTGCTCAGCAATTGCACAGGGAGGGAGGGAAGGTGGCAGCCTGCTGGCACTTGTGTGGCCAGGGAGAAAGAAATGAAGGTGCTGGCTGACAGGCAAAGTTAGCCCCACTCTTGTCTCAGGCTCCCCAGGCTGGCATCTGGGCTGAGGAGGGAGCGGGCAAACATCAAGCAGCCTAACTGGGCTCTCCAGATTGAGCTGAGTTACTTTATGGGTGAGCTGAAGTAGTTGATTTTAAAGAGCAGAGATATAGCAGGCATAATGGTAATCTGGCGGAAGAATACTGACAAGCTGGACTGTGTATAGAGGAGGGTGACCAAGATTATCAGGGTATAACTGTCCCAATCCAACAAGACACATTTCAGTACCAGATATACAAGTGAAGCTGTGAGCTCAAGCCAGTGCAAGTTTACTATTGAGCTATGAACTCCCTACTCTGAAATCAACCTAACCAACAAAACTTATTTTCTAGTTGCAGATGTCCTTAAGACTTAAAGGACACTTCAAATATGAGCAGGCTTCAAAACAAAATCTATTATCATGTGACTGATTAATATTATGCACCTAATATTTCAGAAATGTGTTTTATCTGCCATTGAAAGTCAGGTACAACTCATATGAATAAGGATAAAAAGTTTAGTTGGGAAGTCAGTAAATGACTTTATCTTTGGATTTTCATACAATAGGGTAAACCCATCATGAAGTGAGTAGCAGACTACTCATGGAAATAACAACTGGGTAGAGAAATAATTTCTAACGTATTTCTGTGTTTCAGAGAGCAAATGAGGTTTTCCTGAAACAGAATGGATATCATACTTTTGCCAGGAAGTATCCTGATCTGTACAACTTATCAGCTGCTATTTTACCATTAAAAAATCTAGCATTGTTGGGAAAGTAAATCTACCAATGCAAAAAATTCAGCCTCTCACATGCTTCGATCCACATTTCATTTGTAAAGTGGGCACAGGAAAAGCTTCTAGATTAAAAAAATAAATAAAAGTAGCTCCTGGTTTATATAACCAGAATTTTCTTTTAATCTGTGGTTTAAACACACTTTCCCACAACAAAAAAAATTCTTTCCAGTAGCACCTTAAAGACCAACTAAGTTAGTAGATTAGTATCTGAAGAAGTGTGTTCTTCAGGGTTAGTATCTGAAGAAGTGTGCATGCACACGAAAGCTCATACCAAGAACTAACTTAGTTGGTCTTTAAGGTGCTACTGGAAAGAATTTTTTTTTGTTTTGACTATGGCAGACCAACACGGCTACCTATCTGTAACTGGAACACTTTCCCACATATAAGTAAAATCCTGTAAGACCACTCAAAAATCAAATTGCTACAACTGTGAGGAGATAAAAGCATGCTGCAAAAAGAGGGATCTACATGAAAGAGTATATCTACTAGAGCGTCTGTCATCTCTAGTTCTTGCTCTCCCCCATTTATTTATTTCCTGCATTTATATTTCACCTTTCCGCTAGATCTGACTGATGTATCTATCATCCAACACCAGCTTGTAGACCACATCATATGAACCAATTCAAAAAAACTGAACTGGCAGTGTATTGCAAAACACAGCCTTCAAAACTCCAAGGGGTGCTATAATTATGAGCTCTCTGGCAGGCGGCTGGCTGTCTTTTCAGCTCACTTTCCCTTCCTATGGCAGAAGAGCCCCACTCCCAGCCTCAGCGCCTCCCCATAACCATGGTGTCTCTACCCAATGTAGGAATCAAGGCTGGGCTGCCTCCTCTTTCTACTTCCAGAGAGGAGTGGAAGGAGTTCGCCCACCAAATGTGAGGGTTTGTCTGCCTCCAAGAGAAGGAATATGCAGTGCACACAGCACATACCTATTAATTTCCTTGACTGCTCCTTCGTCCAATCTCCATACACACACCCTGTGCAATCTTCAATGACTGCTCCTTCGCCCAATCTCCACCCTCCCCACCCGTCCCATGTTTCAGACATCACAATATATCACTAAATTGCAATGTTTAGTTTGTGATATACCTGGTGACATATCGCGATGTTGAAAAACAGGTATCACCCAGCCTGAGTTTCCACCAAGGTACCAAAGACTGTTTACACAGCTTAATATTTCTGTTAATATTCTGTTAATATAACAGAAACCAATGGTATAGTATTCCCAGCCTGATTTAAGGAGCTGATGGCACTAGCTACTTGGCCTTCTTGGCTTCTGCATGCAAGTCTACATAAGACACATTGCTCCTGCTTTCCTTTATTGCAGGCTTCCTCAACCTCGGCCCTCCAGATGTTTTGAGACTACAATTCCCATCATCCCTGACCACTGGTCCTGCTAGCTAGGGATCATGGGAGCTGTAGGCCAAAAACATCTGGAGGGCCGAGTTTGAGGAAGCCTGCTTTATTGCAATACTTTTTGTTCTCTTGGCTAGGGAATCTTAAACAGTGGGGACTAGTGCCCATTGGACTGGTAGGGAGGAAGGCCAACAGCACGTGAGGTCAAAGCTAATGACAGTCAGAACCTCCCCTCATTTCAATGAAGGTAAGGCTGAGACTAAGACTAAGGAGAAGGAAGCTTACAGCCAATGCCACTCTCTAAACTGGTTGTAAGAAAGAAGGGAGGGAGGTGAGAACTGGCTGACTGCAGACTGAGGTTGGTTGGGTAGCATCCCATTTGACCCAATGGACCAGCCTCCACGACTTTAAAAGAATCTAACAAAAGCTGGATGGATTCTCAATACCGGAAAACTCTTATCAAGCAAAGAGCTAAACTCTTACTTTGTATAAGTAGTTAACATAGCCTTGAAAAGCCAAGAACAATGATTATGTACATGACCTTGTGGATTTCATACTTTGGAAGGTAGTCTTGATCCTGGAAAGCACAACAGAAGACCTTGGGGGGGGGAGAGGAGGGGTAAGGAAACCTGAGGATAAGCCAGAAGATATTGCTCTCTTTCAATATATATTGTTCATTAAGCACATTCACAGTTCTAATAATTCATAAGACTGAGGAATAAAAAAGTATTTATTTAATGTTTTTCCCCCATGTTCAAAGTGATTTGCATTTCCCTCATTGTTACAATGGGCTACTACTACCACTATGCCTATATTAAAAATGGGGAGCCTGAGGCAGATAGTGACTTGCCACACAGTGGATTCATGTCTGAGGAAAGATTTGACATAACCGCACAGCAACAGCTTTAGCAAGTGTGACAGAAGGCACTTAATCAACTTGGGATAAAAGAAGAAACTTCACATTTCTGTAAAACTGTCCATATGCTGTCAGGCTGAAGTAAAGTTCCAAATTTTTAGAAGCAAACACATAATTTTTAAGCACCAGTCATGCAGATAAGAGAATGAAAGATCTTTTAAACATCTGTACAACCAACTGCCCCATATTTTTCCATTTCTAATTCTGATAGATGACCTCCATATAACAGCAGCCTGTGTGTTAAAGTGCTCAAAAAGCCATTCAGAAACACAATTATGTTGAATGCTAACCATTTACATACTGTAATCAAGTTCTTAGCCCTGTCCTCCACAAGCTGTCCAAGTGCAAAAGAAATGAGCGTGGGGAAGGAAGAAAAACACACAAAAGCCTAAAATAATCAATATATTTTGGAACATATTCATATTTTGTGAGCCATGGGCCAGAAATACAATGACTAGGGGGATGTGGTTCTGAAACAATGTGTCAGTTTCCTATGTGGAATTTCCTTTATGGGAATGAAGGGATACAACTTCAAGGGCTAAAAACCTCTTGACTTGAAGAGCCGAACAAAACAAAACACAAGGCAAATCCAGTCAAGAGCAAAGATCCAAGGGGAGGTTTCCAGGGAGCCCTTTGCTGATTCTGTCCAGGGCCCTGATCCGCTTACAGATCTGCAGATCTCCCTGCCCCTTAAATTTCACGGCATCAGCCCACGAAGGCAGCGGCGGCGGCGGCGGCAGCAGCAGCCGGACCGAAGCAGCCAGGCCACGGATCCCAGAGCTGCGGCACGGGGGGGGGGGCATGAAGGAGGCGCCCAGGACGAGCCTTTCCCTGCGCGAGAGAGGCAAGAGGCTCGCGGAACCCCGGCGCCCGTCTTCCAGCCCCTTCTGCCCTCCCGCCGCCCGGATGCCTCCCCTCACGGGCTGCGCTTTCAGGGCGGGCAAGGCGCCCGAGCCCCACCGAGCAGACCGCCCAGGAAGAGTTTCCCTTCTCGAGGCAAAGGGGGGCGAGACGGGCCGGCCCGAAACTTCTCGCGGAGAAACTTCTCCGCTGCTTCGGGGGCGTCCAAGGGGCCTCCCCCCCCTCCCGCCAGGAAACGGAGGCGACCCCGCCCCGCGGAGAGGGAGGCGGCGGCGCGGGCGCCAAGCGGCCTCCGGCGCCCCCCACCCGGCCCCCTCCCGCCCCGGTTCGCGTCCCGCCTGAGGCGGAGAACTCTCGGGCACGCGCCGCCGGATAGAAACAACGGAGGAAAGTTACCTGGGCGGCGGTGGGCCGGGCTGCCTCCCTTCTCCCCTCCGGCGCCCCGCTCGCCTCACGCGCCGCCCGCGACTCCTCGCCTCGCAACTCAAACTGCCGGCCTCCCTCGCAGGCCCCGCCCCTCGATCGCGCGTCCCCGCGGCAGCAACCGCCTCCCCGCGCGCGCGCACGGGCGGAGGGGGAAAGGGGCGTGGCTCCCCGCCTAGTTTTCTCCGTCCCGTTAGCAACGCCGACGCTCCGCTTGCCCTGGAAGGTGACAAAAAGAGGATCCCGCTCGCCCAACGGCGAGACTACGACCCCCAGCATGCATTGCTGCTAACCCGCCCTGTGGGTAGGCTTTTTTCGGCGTTGGTGTGCGAACTCGCGTATGTGTAATTCTTCCGCTCTCAAAAAATAGTTCCGCTACTCCCTTTATTACAAGAAAGCAGCTAAGGCTTTTTCGGAGGTTTGTTTCTCAAAGGAGGTTCTAAAGGGGTGGGGAGAGCTTCTCCGTTGTCACAGGACAATGAATGGGGGGGGAGAGCGCCCTCGCGGAAGGATACGCGGAAGGGGCGGGGCTACGCGTCCTGCGTGTGAGGAGAGGGCGGAGAGAAGGATGGCGGAGGCCGAGTGGGGGTGACGGGGCAGCAGTCTCTCAAGGGGAGCCCCCCCGCCCGCCACTCAGCGACAGGTCAGTGGGGGGGGGGGCGAGGGCTGTCGGGTTGCAGCAGCAGGCGGCGGCGGCGGCGCGGGAGGGGTGAGGCCGCGAGGGGGCCCCTGTCCGGGGCGAGCGGGCCTCGGGGGCGCCTCCCGCCTGGCTCCCCTCGAGAGGGTCTTCCTCCGCCCCGTGACCCCCTCCCTCCGCTTCCGCCCCCTGCCGCCTTCCGGCCCTCTCCAAGGGGGCGGCGCCTTGGCCCGGGGGCCTCTGTCGGGGGGCCCCTGGGGGAGCAGGAGGCCGAGCAAGGGGCGCCTTGGGTCTGGCGCCTCATGGTCCTCGGCTTGTTCCAATGAGAACCCATCCATCTTGTCTTAATGGCTCTGTGAAATGCGCCTCGGGGTCCTTGTGCAGCTTCCCCCTCGCCTCAGCTCCGTCCCGCCTTCCCCCCGCTTATCCGCCCCGCCAACAACCCTGTGAGGTTGGTTAGGCAGAGGGAGGGGGGGGCATGCTGCCTCCAGAGGCAATTGGGACTCCTGAGCGTATCCAGTTGCTGCTGAAAGCAGCATGACACGGTAAGGTGCCAAACTGAAAGGGGGAAATTGGGAGTGTGTTCTTGGCTCTTGCTTTGAATCCACAGCTTGAATTTTGCTACAGTTTTACCTGTTCTGCATATGACAGTGGGTGATGGACAGGTGGGTGTGACTTCAACCAAACAAACAGAATGGGGAGGCATGGTGGAAGAGGTTTCCTGTTGCTGATTTATTGTAAAATAATACATTTTCAGTGGCACTATCTATGTAAGGTTTGTGGTTTCAAAGCTAGAAATATCAAAAGGCCCTTCCCTTTTTAATAATTCATTTTACTTTGTTGTTGGTGTTGTTACTCACAAGACTTCAGCCTTCCTAAATTTAGTTTTTCTCTGGTTGTGTGCAAATAATAGCTTTTCAGAGACCGAACTGCATTGTGGAAAGCCCTTACCCATAATGCACATCATGGATGGTTTGGTCTGCCTGCAGAATAGATGCCACAAGTGCCACAGAAAGCAGGAGTTTGTGGACACACACATTTCCCCTTCATTTTTGGAGGGGAAAAAGTGTGTCCTATAGGGCGAAAAATACGGTAAATGGCAACGTTGGCTCCTCGGGGCCAAAGAGCAACCTCCAAGCACCAGCCGTTGGAAACCATTGACATAGGACCGCAACCATCCCAAAGTGCCACCCATCCCTGACTCGGACAGCCACTCCTGACATGGTTGATGATATTGAAAGCTGCTAAAAGGTTGCAGAGAATTAACAGGGACACATTTCCCCTGTCTCTCTCCCAACAGATTGCTCCTACAGGGCAATCAAAGCAGCTTCTGTGCCAGAAGCAGGCCCAAACCTGTATTGAAATAGATCTAGAGAAACAGTTTTCTCCAAGAGCACCTGGATCTGGTCTGCAAATTTGTCTAATCTTTTTAAAAACTCTGAATTAAGGACCATATTGTGATAGTTTTGGTTTGGTATGAAAAAAAAGGAACCATAGGATAGGCTCTTTGAATGGACCATTGTAAAATGTTCATTTCTTTTCGCTTAATCTGGTATATTCTGAGCCAGTAAATACTGTGTCACATTGTACATTAAGAAATCCTGTTATACTGAAATGGATAATAGCTGGCTTAACAAGATCATCGTTTTTGACACAGATTGGCAGCCCTTTTCCAGGGTTTTAGGTGAGTCTTTCAGTAGTACCTGGGGTTGATGGGGACTGAACTTGGGGACTGAACTTGTGACCTTCTGCAGTGTTTCCCCTATTTATGTTGTGTTACACTCCTAAACCTGGAACAGTAGAACTGTACAGGGCTGTTCAAAATCTGAGTACAGAGCTGGGGTCAGAAAAAGGAGGAAAAAGACCTGTGTTTTAGTATGATGAGCTTTCATCAAGTGTAGCTAAATGCTGCCAGAGCAAAGTTGGATGCTGATGATTATTTTTGTACAAGTACTGGAATTTTATTTTTGCAGATTTCTTCAGTTTAGACAGCTTAATTCCCTTGGTTTACTTTCAAATCCTTAGGTCCCCAATGGTATGTCAGTTTTTTGTCTCACAAAGCTGTTTATCCATGATTTGCTTTTTTTAGCTGGATATCAGTAAATGCAGCTGGACAATTTTTTTTCTACATTACTAGGCTGGCAGATTTGAGTTTCCTTGTTGAACAATATTGCAGTGAAAAGTGGTGTAGATGGCAACAGCATCAACAAGAAGCAACCCCTTCCCATTCCTTCTCACTGCAATAAAACGAGGTTTAACAGTTTAGACTAATTCCTTTAAAGGCTGGAGTGGTGTTCTTAAAATGCATGAATGTTTGTGAGAAAACTTCAGGTCAATCTAACATAAAGTGAGGATTAATGTAGGCTTGTGAGAATTCTCCTATGAACATGTTTTAACAGACTGAAAAAAATTCACTTTTGAATCACGCCTTAGTACCATGTTCTGAGAATGAAAGGATGATGATATGTTAAGTGATCTTGGGAATTTTCAAGGGTCAATTGAATATTCTAATCTGAACTAGAATAGTGAGCACAGAAGCAAAGGGTGAATTAAATATGTGATCTTGTAAATAACCCTTTGAAAAGTTCTTGGCTGAGCTAGCCTCTTGGGTCTCCTAACTGGGCCTTGTAGTATAAAGAATGGAATTTAAAGTGTCATCCACTGTGATTCTAATATTTTCTTCTGAGCAACTGCCACTGTTCCATCTTCCTCACCCTTTTGCCCCATAATTTGCTTCAGCTCACTTCCAGGTATTGCCACATGTCTTGCAGTCACCCGCATGATGTTTGGGAGGGTGCTACTATCTCTAGGTCTTCCCAGAGAGCCATAACTGGCAAAGGCTAACTTCAAGAGTTCTGCTTCCTGCCCACTTCACTCCCTTGAGCATGCATCTAATGCTCCATCTAGTAGAATCTTAGAAGTTTGAATGCTTAGCAGTGTAAATGTGTGTAGATGTGTGCTGTTCAAAGTGTATGTATTCAAGTAAACATAACACAGAACATATTATAAACACTGATCCCAATCCAATGTTTTCTCAGCTATGCTACTGTGGAATATTTCCTCCTCCCCCTGCTGAAGTGAAAAACAAACAAACTTAGAAGGAACCAGCTCCTCAGCTATCTCTTTGAAATACATTAACAACTTGGGGGGTAGTTTGATCTGTGCATGCATTTTCCCCAGGCACAGATTGAAAGTACTTGCATTGCATGTGATGTGTGATTGCAATTCCATGAGCATACATTGCTGGCCTGTGCATAATGCATGGTGCATTCTCCGTACTCCCCTCCCCAGCTGAAGCTAAGGCATGCGTAAGGACAATTTGTGCTTATTGTAGCCAAGTCACATGAGTGATTTGCTACAAACATCCCACATAACATAACAACCACCACCTTTATTTTCCTTCTCCTCTCTCCCAAATGATTTGTGCCACCTCAAACTGTCAACCCTTATCCTTTATGGATATGGTTTTGAAACTAAAACTAATGTTGGTGACTGAAGAAGACAGTACAACTAGAACTGAGAATCCACTATGATTAACAGCCTGCTAACACAGAACTCTTAAAGATCTCCATTGCTGCCATGTAATATCTGAGTAGAGAGGTAATTCCTAGGCTACTTGAGCATTTGTTTTTATCAGTTTTCCGAAGACTGATGCCCTGACCTACAATAAAGGTGGCCATTGCAGGTAAAGATTTGCAGACAAAGGGCCCTGTGCTTCATTCTCACTGTCCCTTTGATGTTGATGCCTGGTAGTGCTGATTAGAGGAACGTGCTGTTGGCAGATGGGCTCTTCTGCAGGAGAGCTGTGATCTCTTCCTGAATGGGTGCAAAGCTAATGCTGGCAGAGGGCCATGTGATGGAGCATTCTGTGGTGGAGAGGAACTGCTGGATCCTAAATTGCCCCAGTTTGTGGAGAAAGGTCCAGTCTGGGCTTGGAGCTGGTGTGGCATGATCCCTACAAAGCTGCCGCTCACCTTCTGCCCTGACGGATAGGAGCTGGCAGGGCTTCTTATGTGTTGGTGGCTTTGCCACTTCTGTTGACCCCAGCCACTCATTAGGATTGATCTGCCCACCTACAATGTCCCATTGAACTCAGGTGGACATAGCATAGGAATGCTCTGTAAAACTGACAACTGGTAACGTTCTACAGTCACTTTGTGCTTTAGTTTGTATGGATTTATTAAAATGTTCTGATTTTAGGAGGAATTGGTGGCTATAATCTGGGCAAAGAAAATGGAAGTTGAACCATTACACCACACTGACACTCACTGGCGAGAATCTTTTTTTTTCCAGTTTGCAAAGTCACAGCTTCTGTGACAGGTGAACCTGACAGTTGAAGATGTAGCCTGAAAGAGCAGCTGTAAGGGTAGTAGGCACCCTATACAGTAGTGGCAAAAGTGTTTTCAGTGATGAAACAATGCAAACATGGTAGTCTGGATCAAACCTCCTCTTTCTTATTTTGTCTAGTTTAGCAGGTCATCTGCAAGTACTAGTACTGTTTTGTCTTTCTTTCTTTTTTTAAAGGCTATTGCTTTTGAGGATAAATACACTGTTAAGTTGTTGATATGTGTTTGACAGATTAGATACTGATCCTCTGGGAGGAAGAAATACCTTGCTTTCCAGACAAAGCCTTGATACATGTTGTTATATATGCAAATATCTTACAAGTTGAAAACAGTGTGTGCTGTTCTTGAAGGCTAATGCCATTGATATAGAAGAATAGCATCATAATTGCTGTCTAGTTTTGTTGGTTTTAACCATTCAACAATAGCAACTATCTGAAGGGATGAGAAATCTCCCTACTTTCCTTCCTTCCACATGGAGGCTAGGAACATTGTCTGGAGCAGATGATTCTGAATTGTGTGCTTGTTCTTCTGCATGGTCTTTCATGTTTTCAGGTAATGAGGTTTATAGTAATAATAATAATAGTAATAATAATAACAACAACAACAACAATAATAACAATAATAATAACAATAATTTATTTATACTCCGCTCATCTGGCTGGATTTCCCCAGCTACTCTGGGAGGCTTCCAATAAAATATTAAAAATACAATAAAACATCAGACATTAAAAACATCTCTAAACAGGGCTGCCTTCAGATGTCTTTTAAAAGTCAGATAGTTGTTTATTTCCTTGACGTCTGATGGGAGGGCATTCCACAGGGCAGACGCCACTACCGAGAAGGCCCTCTGCCTGGCTCCCTGTAACCTCATTTCTCGCAGTGAGGGAACCGCCAGAAGGCCCTCAGAGCTGGACCTCAGTGTCCGGACTGAACGATGGAAGTAGAGATGCTTCTTCAGGTATACAATTTATAGAATTGTAGAGTTGGAAAGGACCACGAGGGCCATCTAGTCCATCTCCCTGTAATGCAGGAATTTTTTTGCCCAATTTGGGGCTCTAACCCATGACCCTGAAGTTCAGCATCTCATGTTCTACCAACTGAGATATCGCGGTGAAAGTTATAATGCTGTGTTTTCATTTAGTGGAGTGTCAGTGATAGAATCGTAGAATTTTAGAGTTGGAAGGCACCACACGGGTCAT